CGCGAACTCTTACATCCAGATGTCGTTGAAGCAAGAAGTTACCTATCCAAACGAGGATTGGGTCACCAATTCCACAACACTGTAGCTTGTGAAGGAGGATCCGATGGTTCAGACGGTCGAAAGCTTTTGAGAAGTCCAGATATACTGCGTCAACACCTACGCCGCTGTCAACGGTCTCAGTCCAACTGGATATAGCAAGTAGCAAGTTTGAAGTCCAAGATCGGTTCTTGCGAAATCCATGTTGTTCTTGTGCTATGATATTGCGTTCTTCCAGAAAGTTCATCAGCGCTTCGGCAACAATCGCTTCTATGATTTTGGAGAGCACCGGAAGTAGTGTTATCGAGCGATAGTTGGCCGAAGCTGTACGACTTCCTCCCTTATGGATGGGAGTGATGACGTCCTGCTTCCACATTGTTGGCACCCGCATCTCATCGAGGCATCGTTGGAAGAACTTGCAAAGTGGCTCCGCCAGGTTTACTGCAGCCAATTTCAACGCTTTTGGACGAATATTATCAACGCCGGGAGAGGTATGCTCACGCAGGGCAATTAGCCTTTTCATAACATCCACACTCGTAAACACAATGTGGCTAAGTCCTGGTGGTGGCACAACGATCGGGAATAGTGTATGCGGCGATGTCGTGCTCTGGAAGTTCGGGGCGAATTGTTGACCTAGGATATTGGCCGTCTAGGTTGCAGTTTGTGCGAGTCCACATAACGTGTGTAAGACAGGAATTCCTCGCTGCACTTTGCGGAGCCTGTTTATGTGTCTGTACAGGAGCTTGGAGTTAGAAAGAAATTTCTCAACTAGATTCTGTTGGTGCTGTATTTTATCTTCGCGTACCAGGTTTACGCAGTGATTCCTTTGGTTAGTGTAGGCATCCCATGTTTCGGCACTCGATGACTCCTTGTATCTTCGCCGGAGTAAGTTCCTCGTAACTTGCGTGTCCTGCTGTGTATGAATGATTTTACTGTCTTCGCTCACGAAGGTCTTTTCCTAGAAGCACTAGTTACTAACATGCTGAACTGGTGAGCAAATTCAGACCAGGAGACATCGGGGGGTCGTTCTGCTAGGAATGCCCAGTTTGTAGCATTTATAAGTTTGATTACAGTGCTGTAATACGTAATGAGCTGATACTCCTCTGTGCTTTCTGAGGAATACTCTGAATAACAGATGTAATTGTACATTAGCGTTGCATAGTCGCTACGGTCCAAAAGACTCTCTATCGATACCGTTTCGATCATAAGCTCTTCGTTGGTGAATACGAGATCCAGGACACCCGGTTTGTTTCCTGTCCTGAATCTTGTGGGAGATGTGATGTGATTGTAGGGTGGTAGTCCACTAATTATCTCCTGTACTTACATTTTGAAGTGTTCGTTGATACAGGCTGGGGTTTCTATGGTAGGAATATTGAAGTAACCAACCAGGAGAATGTGGCTGTACGACTGCGAGAGAATGATTTTCATTGTGGAGACTAGGCGGTTGTCCATTTCCAAAGTAGCCGACAGAGGGCGATACAGCACACCCAACAAACATGCGTCCCCACGGCTTAGGTGAAGAAGACACCAAAGCGCATCGACACTGGGTCATCGATGAGATCAATGTGTAGTTCGCTGCGATAATAAAGTAGTACTCCACCTCCTCTACTTGGTCGATCGTTGCGTAGAATAGACATCCCAGGTAGTGCGATTTCTACATCAGTGATCGCTTCATTCAACCAGGTTTCGGTTATCATAACGAGGTCCCTTGAAATCGAGGCCTGACGCAGGCGAAGCTCCGTCAGTTTGCTTAAAACACCTTGTGCGTTGGTATAAAACAGGAGAGTGATCCATAGTTTAGAAGGTTGTTTGTGGATGTAGACAACAGGTTTGAGACTTGGCCGGCCCTCTTGAGGTCGGCCGCTACTAGTTTTTTAAATTGTCTTACGCTCGCGAGAATGACTTTGAATAACTCTCTGCACCATGCAATCAGGTTCATGATGACGCTGATGGTCACTCACCTCCTGCAGTGTCTCACCGGATGCTATGATGGCAGTCAGATCAGTCTCTGTGGTGGACTTTGCAACAACGGTTGTTCCCACTGAGTTGGTTCTCTCCATGGAGTAACCAGTAGCCTCTGGTAGTAAATCTGCTGCTTTTAATCGAATTTCTGTTGATAGTATGATCCGGAAGTTACCCCAGTTCTTTATGACTGTAAAGTTAGCTAAGATGGTAAGACCAACTTTAGCAACCTAGGATCACACCCTCTGGAATTTGGTGACACGGGAATCCTGGTCAGGGAGGTAGCAATGACATTTGCTAAAGACAGCGCCTCACGAATGTATCGCCACTGCTCCAGGTCATGTGCCTGAACTCCTTCAGGAGAGGAAGCTTGAGAATCAGGGACGCCATGAATAATGACGGTTTTCAGCGCGTGTTTTCTACTTCCCTGTTGATTGTTCATATCCTTTGAACGTTCTTTCCAATGAATATCCGGTAAGACACATACTCCGTTCGATGCTCTGTGGTGTCGATTCTCAGCAAGCAGAATGGATCCCGTCTCGTCCGCGGAAGGTAGTGTTACTCGAAGTACTCCAGGCTCACTATAGTGTAAGGTGTTTAAGAGTCGTGCGATGCGGCTCAGTGTAGTGGGTTCAGCGCGAATGCTGATGGCACTACAGATGGAATCCCACTGACTACGATCGTCTATCAATTTGCTCCTTATTGTTTTGAAGTTGGATTCAGGAACGTTAGTGCACACAAGACTTAAGGCACCATGATTCCGCCTTATGGTTCGTGATTTAAGAGCACAAGATTCTTTTGTTTGTTTTTTTGTGGATTTGTGAACCGCACTGGCAATAGCGATCCGTGTTGAGGCACAGTTTTGACCTCTCGGGTATGTGGAGTCAAAGGTGTCTTTGACGGTGTTTTCCTAGAAGCAACCGCTGCGTAGGATGTCCAGTTCTTTTTTTACCGTGGGCTTGCTGGAGTTTTGTGTTTCAAGTATGTCAACTGAATTACTAGTTATTACACCCTTGGAGGACGTAGAAGCAAGTGGGTTGTAAACGAGGTTTTCACTTGGTGGAGTCATGTGCCTAGGGGCCGTTGGAGACTGAGACGCGGTGGTGAGGTTGGGACGCCTGGCTCTCTTCTTCGGCCTAAACAGGGAGTTTGTAGGTGTCCATTCAGTTACAAGTATAGCAATGTTTACTTTCACAGATGCGTCGCTAGCGTTCACCAGTTGTTCAACTGTTTCCGCCAACTTTTCACACTTCATTAGGAAAATTACACAACTAACAACATGGATGGATTTGCACACCTGGCAGAAGCAAAATGCTTCGGTTTTGCTGCTGTATTGTCTAGTTTCGAGTGCACTCATCCCTAAACACTTCGAATGGTACGCTTTTTGACATTTAAAGCAAACTGGACCAGAGTTAACGGTTTTTATACTTAGGTCACAATTGACTTTCGAATGGGCCATATCCACTTGAGGCGTGTACTTTGTTATTGTGACTTGCACCAATTCTAAAAGGGATTAGACAGAAAAGGAGAGTTCAGAATCTGTGTTGTAGATCTATCACTATGCCCGGTCATAACTTACCGAGGAGGGCCCTGTATTGTTTCCCATTTGTAGAGTGGCGCAAGGCTCGAGGTGGACAAAGCTTTATTTGGCAGCGGGAAATAAAGTCACTGAAGACCAAACTGGGTGCCGTCAGTCCATCTCGCCTTACAGACTGGAGTCCCTGTGACTCGCTTTGTGATTGGCTCAATACTTTACAGGACATGGCTCGCAGTCGACACCGGTGGCGCGTCTGCTGCCGTTTCGTAGCCGGACTGTAGGTTTAGTGTGTTTGGTGCTGAGTTATGTGAACGATTATGAAGCGCGGCAGTGAGAGCCGCAAGGAAGCTGTCATCGTTAATGCCGCCTTATCTTTATCAGTTGTTTGTGACGGTATATTGATGATAAGATGTAGGCCCATTTACTTAGGTACTAAGGAAGGTTTATGCTAGGTCACGCTTCTTCCTATTATTGTTCATTCCGTAAGACAGCAAAGCATCAGTCTAGATAGTTGATAGTGATGGTAAGTAAGCGCGGCCGACTGAATAGGCATACTTCAAATGGAGACGATTACAGCACAGTAGCAACGGGGGACACGTGCACTTAAACTGGTAGTTATCGTGAGATGAGGGAAGTAGTTGTGACAAGCTCTGTAACGAAAGAAAATAACATTTTGTCTGGGAGGCAGTAAGAGCATGGCCAAATGGTGACGAAGTCATCTGGAAGAGAAACCCAGTGGGAATGAGGACACTTGTGCAATGTGTAGTAGCCTAGCGTAAGTTGCGAAGGGGGGCAAATGCGGAACACCTGAGAAACGTAATGCTAACTTCAGTGGTGGTCAGAAAGCATCGAGACAAAAAAGTTTCCTGCGGGAAAAACCTAGTCACACAATCTGCATAGCAACAGAACATATGCTTAAGTGCATGATGGAGGTAATATAGAGAATGATGAAGAAAAGGTTCGTTCAAACCGCCGATCGGTAAAAGGAATGGTACGATGGACGTACACCCGAACGATAGATGTCAATTACCAGGGAATGTTGGAGGGAAGAACGTAAGCATGAGTAAAAACACGCACAATAAACACACAAAATTGTTCATTTTCAGGTCATATGTACAAATATACAGCAGGTGGATTTGCTTATTCGAGTGGACCCATCTCGGAACCGACTCCATAGACAAAGGGAATCTGGAGAGATGAAAAAACAAAAATCGTCCATCCACTGAAGAAGTTGACGAGAAAACATGCAAAAACTACAGTCAATCTGAAGAAGAGAAAAATATAGGGAGAAAATACGTCGCGTCTGTGGACAAGAAATTTGAAAAGAGAAGAGACCTATAACTAGACTAAAAGGGAAAACACAGAATACCTTGAATGTGAACGCATAAAGTGATAGTATGAGAAGACGGAAAGACTGTGGAAAGTCTTTGCGTGACAAGTTATACAATGGCAAAAAGTCAGCACATCACTCCCACAAGGCGGCAACGTTGCCATGGTAGGTAGATGCTATGGGACCACCGGCAGCGAAAAGGCGTGTTCCAGATGGGTCGTATTCATGAGTGTAGACTGCGACCAAACGCCGATGAGTGGAAAATGTAGATACTGAGGGTAAGTCAGACCATAAGTCGGCAAGGCGGAAATTGATTGTACTAGTAGATGGCCGTCGGGAAGTTGTCTGACGCCAGCTGACTGGAAGAACAGATTCTACCAACTGTTCGACAGTAGAATTGACTTCCGGCGTTTCTGGAGTAGCCTCCAGTTCGTTATCGTCGTTATCTTCATCATCACTAGTATCGACGACTGCAAGGACGGGATCCGCGACCGGTTCACGAGATGGGTTACGTCTTCTCCGTGATGCTGATTCACCAGGAACAGCTTCCTCCGATCGCCATTCTTCTAGGTCTTGGCTGGGAAAGTTTGAAGGACGAGGGGCAGAAGAATAAATGAGAGACCAAAAGTGACGGGTGCTCAAGTCGGATAACCGACGCCACCTGCGATCTTGGCTGTTCCGAATGTTTCGAGCATACGAAGCTTGGGATGATGGGTTGTTAGGAGGAAAATCAGGCAGGAAAAAAGACAGTGAAGGTGACGGTGAGGTATAGTGAGGCCGCATAGACGGTGCGCTGCGTAGGAGAGGGGGAAACGACAATTCTGAAAACGGTGGAAAAGCCCCCGGAGAAGGTGTGGCGGACAGCTCATCGAGAGCGCAGACGTTCGGTTTCACCCAACCAGGTCCAATCTCTAAATGGGTGGGCAAGTGCTGGCCGTTGCGAAAATCGTAAAAATGCAGCTGACCATTGGAAGAACCATAAGAGAGGATATCACCTGCAAAATTGAGCGAGCGCACTCCAGAGACAGCCAGGGGTGGATGAATGCAACACCCAGTGGCACCAATCGGATCGGAACATCGAATATCGAACATCAGCACGCAGTGATGAGTAGCCAATGCGACACAGTTTGGAAAGGACGGCCAGCGGCGCAATGCAACGGCTTCCTGAAGAAGGATATTGAGCAACAATATCAAAAGTTAGCAATAAGACCGGGAAAGTACAAAGAGTGCTGACAAAAACTGATGAATGGAAAAACAGTTCTTCATTGCAGTGGGCTAAGAAGGAGCGAAAGATATCATAAGGTATCAAAAATTTCTACCCATTGTATATGGTTGGCCGCATCCGGTTTCGGATTTGCCTGTCACTGTGGATAGCAATAGGACGTCGCGCCCACAGAGGGACCATGAGTGGCTTGCGCTGCAGCACCCACAGATCCAACCACACACCCCATATTCAGTGTAAACCCGAAGGAATAAGACCGCAAGGCATGTGGATGGGAGCCACGTTTCATCAACGGAGCCGGCCCACACTCCTTCACAGGCAAACACAAGCACGCTGAATTTGGGAATCAATCGCACACGAAACAGTGGCTGGACAGCAGTCCGCTAAACAATGAGTGCATGGAACCACGGGCACAACGAGCGTGCAACCCGTCCACTTCAGCAATGACCAACTAATTCCTGGAGGCGGTATGGAAGAGGTAGTGGTTAAAAGACAGGTATGCACCTTGTGAATATGCACATCAAGCGCAGTCACACTGGGGATGTCAAACAACAGCCGATCACTTCAAACGACGATAACAAATAAAATAAAGCGAATAGTGCATACAGATACGGTGACATAGCTTTACAATAAACGAGCAAACGGAATAAATTGGACACGAACAAATCCGCGATAAGTTCAAGCCGTCAGAAAAAATATTGTAAGAAAATGCCACAAAGGCGAAAATGCTATCTAAGTTAACTATGATTAGCATGAGCGACGTGTGCAAGTAAACAGAAGATAGTTCGAGTAGGCATTATTACGGAATTAAAAAAATTAGGACAATATAGCAGACCCACCATCCGAAATAAAGAGATTCAGCACGCAGCCAAGCGGTTAGTAAATCGAATGCGGCGTACCTACAAACGCTGCGCCCTTTCTGCCTACGTTCTCTACAGGACCCGTCCTCGCTTCGGTGGTGGCCCTGAGTGGCCTCGCTCAGGGATCAATAGGCCTGCCTGACTCAGGCACTCGCGACCGCATGTACTACAGCACCATGCGCTCGATGTCGATGGAGTAAAACCCATCGGTGCTTGCCGCTTCCGCACTAGCCGTTTCTTCTACGCATGCACGAAAGATTTCTCTACCAACTCGGCAACTTCCTTCCTGTGCAGATCGCGTCATGCACGCCGATCAACTGCCTTCGATTCTCATTACCAGCAATCAAGCTTAGAACGTGAGAGGCTGCCTTTGATCATGTCCTGGTAACGAAGCTTCGGTTTCCCCACATGCCGCTTCGCAATACTCAGCTGAGCATATAATAGCTACTTCGGAATCCCTACGCCACACATGACGGAGCCACCTCAGGTGTCTCAGCAAAAGTATGCAATCCACCGCATACATGCCACTTCGGCGCAACACTTCCGTGTCAGCAACCCTGTCGCCACAACCGATGCGCAAAATTCGTCGTAGACACTGCTGATGGAACTGTTCGAGATATCGCACATCTCCCCGGTACATCGTCCACGTTTCACTGCCGTATAGAAGAACGGACAGTACCATGGATTTGCACACCATCAGCTTGGTGTTAACGGTAAGCTGATGGTTTTTCCACACTCGGTAACCAAGCATCCCGAATGCCGCCGCTGCCATCGATACGCGAATAAGAAGCTCACTGTGTAGCTGCTGGTCAGTCGACATCACACTCCCAAGGTAGCTGAAGCGGGAGGTGGTTTCTAATACAACACCACCAATGCTGATTCGCGGCAACACTGCAGATTGCAACTTCGGTGAAGGCTGAAAGAGACAGACAGTTTTGCTTGTGGTGATGTTGAGCCTGAATTAAACCGCCGTCGAAGCCAGAGCACTAGTCATGTGCTGCAACTCATCCGCGCTGTGTGAAAACAACGCACAGTCGTCAGCAAACAGCAACATACCGATAGTTGTCTCACAGACTAGAGTTCTCGCACCGAAACGACGGATGTTCAGCAAACCCACCATCAATACGGTGCTCCAAAAGAAGACAGTAAGCACAAGCGGCATCAAAAGCACAAGACATCATTGCATGAAGATATATATTAAACAAGGCAGGAGCTAAGACACAGCCTTGTTTCACACCAGAGACAACTGCAAAGTCACCCGAGGTCTCTCCACTCAGCTGCATCCTCGCTCGCATACCACTGTGCAGACATTCAATTAAAATTACAAATCTACACGGGTAACCAAACTTACCCAACACCAGCCACAATGCCATTGCGGTTCACCGCATCAAATGCTTTGGTGAAATGAACAAAAAGCGAGTACAATGGCTGCTGTCGTTCTCTGCACTTCTCCTGAAACTGACAAGCCGCAAACACCACATCGATGGTGCTGCGACCCGAACGGAATCCACATTGCTCTTCCGCCACGTTAGGTTCCACAATCCGACTGATGAGGCGGCTGAGCAGGATTCGGGTAATCACCTTGACCATACAACTCAGCAAGTTGATGCTACTAGAATTCGTGGCACATTGGTTGCTACCTTTGTCCTTGTACAGTGGTAACACAGTGGCATCCTTCAGCTCAGTAGGCACCTCCTCCTCAATCCATACACGTTGCACCAAGTAGTGCAGTGCGGTCAACAACGCGGGTCCGCCGTGTTTCAATGCTTCAGGCGGGATCCTGTCGGCTCCGACACACTTACCGTTTCGCAGCTGAGCAAGTGCTCTGTGCGTTTCATGCAGTGTCGGCTTATCCGCCAGACTCGCGTTCAGATCGTGCTGCTTGAAGCCGTTTAAAGTCGGCCAGTCGATATCTGAACGGTTGTTCGAGAGACAGTCAAAGTGCGCTCGCCACATCTGCACTATGTCTGCAGTCTGTGTGCAGGTAGCGGCTAAATTATCATCGACCAACATACTCAGCGGCTACCACCTCGGTCGATACACCGTCTTCAAGGAGTCAGAATTCCTTGTGTTGGCGGCGTTCGGCGTAGCAATCCATCTGCTTCGCCTTCTCCGTCTACCATACATTTCTTATGCGACAGGGCTCTCGGGTCAGTCGCCGTCATAGTTTGCGAAACTGACTACTCTTTCGCAAGTCACTGGGGTCTGCCACATGTGCAGCAAATGCTGCATTCTTCTCCGACACCAATGAGCTAATCGTCGCATTGTTCTCATAAAACTAATCAGGCCGCTTACAGTGTGCGCCCGATGGTCTCCTCAACAGCAGCTTTGACCTGGTCGGGAATGTGGTACCACAAGTCACCCACTGTGGCTATGCATTGCACATCACCCAGGCGTGCAGCAATCGCCTTCTACACCACACCACAGTATCGGGGGAATGTTAAATATACGCCGATTCACGGCGGGAGTGCAATACACAGATTTACCAAAATATATGTACAGTTTGGTCCGCATCAATTTACGATCAGTGCCACAATCAGCTCTACGCAGTACACGTGTCATGCGCACTTCACGCATATTACGCTGGCGTAGGATGACATAGTCAAGCAGTTGTGCGTGAACCCTCCGTGGATGCATCCAAGTCCGGCTGGAAGTGAACACAATGAAACTCGCAAAGAGCTACGGGCAAAACTCTGTGCTAGCCTGAAGAGAGACCGCGAATCCTGGTGGTCTCATTGTGCATCAGAGATGAAAGTGGCCGCTGTACTTGGAAACCACCGTAAGTTATTTCGGCTGATACGGGAAACCGACAGCAGAAGACCTGGTGCTAGTGAAACTATACGTGACGAGAGTGGACGGCCTATCCACAACTTGTCAAAACGCTTGGAGCGTTGGGCTGAGCACTTCGAAAGGCAATTTAATCGGTCGGAATTGTTAGATTTCGCGCCGGCCACTGACCACCCCGCTCCCTGGGCTGGCCCTTTGGATCCACCCTCTCGCTCAGCAGTCGAACTAGAGATCGGACTGTTGAAGTTAAATAAAGCCGCGGGTCCAGATGATCTATCTCCAGCCCACTTCAAATTCGGGGACCTGCTCTTGTGGATGATTTATACGAGTTACTAGTGAAACTGTAGGAGCAGGAAGCTGTCCCAACCGACTGCACCCGCTCCGTCATAGTCCCAATTTCAAAAGGAGGCTCGCGATCGGAATGCGGCAACCATAGATGAATCAATCTGATCTCCATCGCCTCCAAATTTCTTGCTTCTGTCATCCTTCAAAGACTGACTACCACTGCTGAAAGCCATATTCGTGAAGAGCAAGCTGGGTTTCGTCGAGGTCGTGACTGCATTGATCACATCTTCACTTTGCGCCAGTGGTTGGAGCATCGACACATATATTGGCGGCCCACCGTTGTCGTGTTCCTCGATATCAAAGATGCATTCGATTCGGTGGATAGACTTGCACTTTGGGACTGTCTACTCAGATAAGGTGTGCCTGAGAAATATGTAAATATTATCCGAGCATTATACGCGCGTAGCTCAGGCAGAGTGAGGGCTTACGGCAAGCTGTCGTCGCCCTTTAATATCGCCAGCGGTGTAAGACAAGGATGTCCGCTGTCACCTTTCCTCTTCAACTTTTCTACTGACGAAGTCATGGAGATTGCATTCAGGACATGACTTCGAAGGTGTGGAGCTACTCCCAGGAGAACGACTTCTTGACTTGGAGTATGCTGACGATATTGCCCTGATCTGTGACAGCTCCCAGATGTGCCAAGCGACACTGGACAGGTTAGCACTGGCTGTTAGCCGCTTCGGGCTTTGCTTTGCATCATCGAAGTGCAGAGTGTTCCTCCAAGATTGGCCGGGACCGCCTCTTTCGCTGACCCTTGGTGGGGATCAGCTAGAAGTCGTTAGAAAATTCAACTACCTTGGAAGTTGTATCAGCGCTCGTGGAATTGAAGATGAGATCATGAACCGTATAGCAAAAGCTCGGGGCGCTTTTGCTAACCTTCATCACTTATGGCGCCAATGCGACATCACTCTTGCCCTGAAGGGTAGAGTGTACGATGCAGCGGTACGTTC